AAAACACATTCTACATGATTTTGACAATTTGTTAGGTTTTTTTGTTGCAAACATTTGCAAATATACTGTAAGTGGATGTCACATTGCCTCGTCAATGCCCCTCTGTGAAGAGTGGTCTAACAGAGCTCCCATCTTGAGACATATACAGCAATTAATAAGCAAAGTGCATGTAAGCCTGGAGGTAGCCCATTCCTCCTTAAAGGTGCAGGGACACAGATGCAGCTCAATGGCAGCTAAAGGCTTCCAGTGAGAAACAGAAATGGCAACCACTCCAATCAATTTATAACTAGCTTTTAAAAAGAAAGTTGCACATGGAAAGGGTATCTTACAGAATACAAGACAAAAAGAATCCTGGAATAGCTTACAAGATACATTAAGCAGAACATTAAATAAAATTCAATACATTAAATAAGTGAGATTCGCTTTAATTCACTGTTGTAAAACAAAAAATGTACATGATTTGTGAGGATGCTTCCTGGTGGCCTTGAGGACGGCAGTCTTTTCCCTCTGTTGATTTGGAAGAACACTCTTATTGGGTGCTGTGTTTTACATAATTTCTCATTCATTGTTGGCTTACAATGCCGTTGGTATGCATTTAAGGGATAACCCAAGTTACAAACCAGGCAAATCCATCAACAAAATTAGCCCAGCCTTGAAGGAGTAGGGCAAATGTGCAGTTTTCTGTTAACCAAAGACATTGTCCATCCAGCTCTATACTGGATCACTAATCCTCCACTAAAAAATCACCGTGTTAGGGGAAAGTGAAAATTGGGAGCATGTGGAGTTGTATCTTCCACTTCAAGCTTTTGAAGGCATATGTGAGTAGCTTGCAAAACCAATCTCCTGTTACTAGAGGAGATTCCAGCAGTGCCAGGGCATTCTAAACCTACCTACATGATTTAATATATTAACAGAGCAAAAAAGAGCACAGAGCAGAAGAGGAGACCTGTGTACAATCCTATGGGGGTTCCCACTAAACATTTACAAGACCCTCTTTATCATAAGTAGCATGTAACTGCCGCCTATTTTGCTACAGGTGCTTGATTGGTTGAATGAATAATCTAAAAGCACTACATATTTTATTTTCATGATGATCAATACATAATGTTGCTTAAAAAGGAGTTACTCCTTTACAGGAATATTGGAATATTTTCTTAAAAGAACCTTGATCTTAGGCCAGCCTGTCTTAGACTAAGAAACTGGATTAAGAGTGTGAGAAATGTTACCCCTTGACAAATACTATTTTCCTGAGCAAATAGAAAATCCGGAATAGTCACATATAACTAGCTCCTTAAAATAAAATGAGCAAAAACATACAACAAAGATTTTTTTTTTTTACGAGAGATAAATAACTTTGAGTAAAGCCTACAAAAGGCATGAAAATGGTGATGTCAACATGCAGAGGTCACATTTATGTTTAAGAAAATGGCAAGCATTTATTTAAAAGACACAGCATGACACTTTTAGGACATATTTTTGGATGTGCCAAGCGTCTTCTGCTCTCTTGCTGACAAGTTTTTACTGTATTCTCTATGTCCTTTCAATTGTGTGTTTTGATGTCTGTCAACATTTTATACCAGGCTGATGCCAGCATGTGGAAAAAAAAAATCAAGATAACAGGTTGTCATCCAAACTCGGCTGTCAAATATGTGAACAGTTATGAAACTTCAGTACATCAGAATGCGAGTTTGTATCTCTGTATGCATGTGTGTAAATAAATGTGTGTGTAGGTATATAATATAATGATTGCATACCCACACACGTCTGTCTGCCCTTTATCGGCCAACATAAGTGTTTAAAGTTGGAAGCTTTCACATTAGGTTTCAAAAGCTTGCATTTTGAAAATGTTAAGTTAGCCAATCAAGTATCAATATGAGAGGGAACTTTGTAATAATGATCACTGCAGTGCCCAGCTGATGTGGGAAATGGCAGTAATGGACACACGAGGACTTTTCCCAACCTGACATACAACTACCCTGTCCCCCGAAAAATAAGACCTAGTACTATTTTTGGGAATTTCTAAAATATAAGACCTACCCCGAAAATAAGACCTAGTTGTAACCATTTCTAGGGCCGCTTGTGGCATAAGGGGGAACTTGAAGAGCTGCGGGAGAGGCAGGAGAGAATCAGCGGTGCCAGCGATAGAGGAAGCAAGGCGGCACCGGAGGGAGCAGAGCTGCATAAGCCGATGCCTCCTCTAAAGCACCACCTCCTGTCACAGGGGGAGTGATGCCAAATGCACTCCGCCTGTGAGGAATCCATAGTGAAAGCACGCTTTGCTCATTCTGGCCAGCAATTGGTTAGCAAATTGCTCTTGGAAGGTACGGCACCCCTGATTGCCCTGATCACCATAAATGTGTACATGAATACATGTAGACTTTTCTACATGAATAAGTGTGGATTATTGTACAAAAAAAAGACCTACCCCGAGAATAAGACCTAGTGTGGTTTTTTTGAGCCAAAAAAAAAAAAATAACAGTGTCTTCTTTTCGGGGTAACACGGTAATATAATTTTTACAGTTAATTATAAAATACAGATCTGTCTGTCTGTCTATCTAATAAAATTTGCAAGTAAAACAAAATGCAACCTTGAGTACTCACCAGTGACTGGAATCTTTTACATTTAGAAAATAACAAGGAATATATGAACCATAGGCAGATGGATTTGCTTGTGGTAAGCCTCAGATGCATATGTTGTAGCTACAGCATCAATGCCAGAAACCTTTTGAGATGTGAAAAGAGGGACACATTCCAGCACAATGTTTATATAACACTAGACACACCCATGCCGTGCTCCCAGTTATATGGACCATTAAAAGCGAATTGAAGCCAGACCTTTTTTTTTGCTTTAGTTCTCTTCTGGGTCACAGGTGCCTGCTATTTGCTGACAGTGCAGAGCAGTGCTGTAGCTGGGAAGGATCCTGACCATATTGTAGGGGTCCACCTCACAGCCTGATTGGGAGTTGGCTCTGCCTCTCTAGAGCCTCTAATTATGGGGATGAGTGCATTTCACTCTCCCCGTAATTATCCTTTAATAGTTAAGGTACTTGAATCAATTTTTAAGATGTAACTCCTGAGTTTAGTGTCACTTTAAATTGTCCCCCACTTAGTTACAGCAATAAAAACCATACCGTTTTACCTCGTTCTCACCCTACCCAAAAGTAACGGACTGTAAAATAAGTACAGTGCATTAGAGACTAGTACAGAGAGAGGCTCCAAAATCTTATAATTGATCTTTAGTGCAAAGCCCCATTTGTGCAGAAATATAGTGTATGTGTTCTGTATTTAGTTTCCCAACAATATAAATGTACTAGTAGATTGTCTAGAGCAGGGGACCTCAAATGATGCACCACGGTCCAAAAACGGACCGAGCAGTGGTTCTGTCCGGACCGCAATTGACAACCGGCCAAGCATAAGGGACGGAAGAGTATAGTCTTCTGTTCTCATCAGCAACCTGCAGCCATCTCCACCTCCTGGCTCCTCCCAACTCCACCCCCTCACACTGCCTCCCACCTCCTGGCTAAAAAACGTGTGCACCCCCAACAATAGACAAGGCACTTTGCCTTGTTACACATGGGCTCAGTTCACATCGCCATGTTGTGGTTGTGTGTGCTGAAAAAAAGTACTGCATGTGGGCCGCAATGCATCACACGGCACTGCTCCCATTTGAACTTCATGAAATGTCACTTGCAACATTTCAATAAAGTTCTAACAAAAAATAAAGAAAAATAAACTGCACAAAATGCGATGTACTGGGACCGTTGCATCAGCACTGTGTTTGGGAACACACACCAGCAGCTTTGCGTTGTAGTGCAGCCACTGGTGTGAATGCAGTCTAAATGGCGGAGCATGGTAGAAACACGGACTGAGTGACCATTCTGACTGGACCCGCAATTCAGACTTCGGCTCAAACAAATGTTTACTTACTGGACCTCCTTGAATTTGAATTCACTACCCCTGGTCTAGAGTGTGCTGTTTAGCAAACATTTTAACATGCAATTGGAAAGCTAGCATATTTGTACTTTGTAATTTAGAGTTTCTATTTACAAAAATATTATTAATGCAATCATTTACTAGAGCACTATGGTGGGTACAGAATATCTGTTTTGAACAAAATCGTATGAGCTGGATTTATTGTGCGTTAATCTATGTATAGGTGCAAAATAAGTTATTGGAGATGGAGCTTTTTGTAGCCACATATACTATATCTCTTAGAGGCAGCTGTGTCCTGATCTAATCTATACTGTGGTTTCCTCTGTTCATTAGAAGCCAGTTGGCTTGGTTGATTTCTCTGTTAAATTAGTTGAATTTATTACCGGCTTTGATTTGGGGCAATACTTTCTAGCTAGGAAACAAGCCCTTGTTCAAACATTTTATTTCTTATTTATGTCTATTTAGTGATTGCAACTGCTAATCAAATGTCAGGCATGCATTGGTTGTTAAAGGAGTGAAGTGTATTTGTTGAATGGGGTTTAATGTTATCTGATGCTGCTTGGTTTGAGAAACCTGGCTTAAACAGTGCTGTGGTGTATTGTACTGCAGCAACGATGGAACATTTTTCAGATGTCTTTTTGTCCAGAGAAACGGAAAGATGTTTCAGTATAGCAAAGGTCCCCTAAAGAAAACTTTGCCTGACTTTGTGTGGAGTGTATATTGATGACAGCTGCTGGGAAAGTGTGTAATGAATGTAGATAGGAAGTGCAGATAAGAATAGTCTATGGGAAGTGTATTGTGACACATACTAGGCACTAGACACTTGCTCTGACACTGCAGAACGGTGGTACATAAGCCCCTGGTTGAGTACCATTGTTCTATAGTCTGGCTAGAACACCTTGCTAGGTAGAGGCATACATTATATATTTAATAGTGGACTAAGTATGACCAATGGATATTTAGCATATATTTCATGTTCGTTCAATTAGACTTTCAGAAATGTTGTCTACTTTTGTAAATGGTTTTACTTTTAATATTCTGACGTAGATGCCATTAATGTTTTTCAGACACGGAATGGAGAAGATATCCCTGTAACCCAAACAAAAAACATCAACCACAGAAGATTTGCAGCCACTTTTAAGCTGCGGGAGGTGACAAAGGCAGATGAAGACCTGTACAGATGTGTAACACAATCCGAGAGAGGATCTGGAGTCTCAAACTTTGCTCAACTAATTGTTAGAGGTAAAAAAAAAAACTTCTGAGGCTTGCAGGAGCTACTAACGTGCTGAATAGCAAGCTGTCTACATAGCTGTTTGTATTTCAACACTGAATTGTATTTCACTTGGTTTGATAGTATCCCATCTATCCTGGGCTTTGTGAGAGGACTTTTGGATTCATTTGGATGAGAATATTCAAGCTGCTTGGGTATATGGTTCTTGCAAGATATGCTATAATGTCAAAATATGACCTGCCTCTTTAAATCACCATTTCTCACCCTTTTTTCAGCCACTGCATCCTTTGCAAGTAAACTAAATCTTGAGTTTGATCTTGACGTGGGTTCCCTCCAAAATCCATACCAGGCTCTTATTCCAGATGGGGGTCTGGTATGGATTTTAAGGGGGAACCCACACATTGCAATGAAAGTGCCACCTTTCACATCAGAGTACCCTATACATCAGGTGCCCCCTCCTTTCACTTTAAGAGTCCTCACCTCTCACACTAGGAGACCCTCTTCATATCAGAAGCCTCCCTTCACCTTAGAGGTCTCCTCTTTCACATTAGAGGCATGACACTGCTAAAATTTTAAGGCACCCCTGAGGTAGCCAGGAAACACCCTGGGGTGCCATGGCACCCTGGTTGAAAAAGCCTGCTTTAAATGGCAATTGTTCTTCTTTTTTTTTTTTTTTACGCATTAAATGTTTATTGTGGTTTTTCAAAGAAAAAAAAGAGAATAACAACATACAATGGACAAGGTAAGTTGGTTGACATTTAGACGTATGGTGTAAGCATAGCATTCAGAACATTTAGCATGCTTCATTTGTTTTAGTCAGAAGAAAGAACAATAAGCCTTCACCAGACATACCGGGGGAACGTACAACAACACGGGGTGGGTGAGACGGGTGACGTGAGGGAGGGGGGGTGCAGTTTCTAAAGGATCAGCCATAGGAAGATGCGTCCCTAGGCAAATGTTACCAGGTAAATACATGTGTTTAGTCAGATGGTACATTTGGTGTATTCGGGGATGCCGCCAGTAGGGAGGCATACCTATCAGATGTTTTGAAATGGAGCCAGCATGCCCAGGTCGTGTAAAAGGTTTTGTAGGTGTCTTTACCGGAGTGAAGTAGTTCTTCCATCAGTCTCATCCTATCAACTCTGATAAGCCATTCTGCCATGGTGGGCATCTGTGGGGAGCGCCAATATGTAGGTATGAGAGGTGGGCTTTGTCCCTGCTAGAGAGGCCAGAGACAACACCACTCGGGCACTGGGAGTCATTCACTGCGCCCTGTCTTCCGCCTCTCCTTGCGTCCTACTGTCCACGGACGCGGAGAAGGCGTTCGACAGGGGGGACTGGGACTTCCTCTCCCTGACCCTGCGGGCGATAGGTCTTGGTCCCCACATGCAAACTTGGATTAGCTCACTTTACTCGTGCCCCTCCGCAAGCGTGAGGGTGAATGGTGTCCTCTCCCCTACTTTCTCCATTTCAAATGGCACCCGTCAGGGATGCCCCCTCTCCTCTTCATTCTCTCCTTGGAGCCTTTCCTCCGGACTGTCCGTTCCAACCCTGATATAAAAGGAGTCCAGCGAGGTCCCACCCACCACAAAATTGCAGCTTTTGCTGATGACCTTCTATTTTTCCTATCCTCTCCAGACGTTTCCATCCCAGTTCTCTTGTCAGTCGCTACGGTACACTTTCTAACTTTCTGGTCAACTCTCATAAATCGATGGCCATGCATATCTCCCTCGCGGGGCCCCGCCTACGGAGAGTCCTGGATAATTTTCCATTCAAATGATCCCCCACCGCGATAAAATACTTGGACATACAACTACACCGGAACCTCTCCCAAACTTTTTCCCTGAACTTTCCCCCGTTAGTAGCCACCATTGCCTCTGACCTCAAAACCTGGTCCATGGGCACCTTCTCTTGGAGGGGCCGCTGTAACATACTCAATCTATCCTCCCTCGCCTTCTTTACCCACTCCAAGCACTCCCGATAGCGATCCCCCCGTCCTTCTTCCGTAAACTGAGAGCGCTTTTCTCCTCTTTCGTGTGGGCGAACAAACCACCCAGACTTCAATTCGACATATTGCGTAGGCCTAAACAATCTGGTGCGATGGGCCTCCCCAATATCCGCTTATATTACACCTCGGTCCACCTGATCCGTGTTATGGACTGGTGTCGACACTAAACCTCGAAACTGTGGACTGGCCTAGAGCAGTCTTTCTCAGCGACACCGCTCCCGGGCCTTCCCTGGTGCGCTTCCCCCTTGCCCCCAGAGATCCGTTCTCACCCTACTATTATGCCTACTCTCAAGGTGGCTAGAAAAGCTTTCGCTGCCCACTCCATCTCCTCTTCCTCCTCGCCTATGACCCCGATATTGGGTAATCCAGCTTTTCCACCGGGTCTGGGGGACGCACGCTTCCAAGCACTTGGCACCTCAGACAGGTTTAGAGCGCTCCACTTCGTGAACGGCACCGCCTGGCCCTCAGAATTCACCGTGACCTCCCGACAGGGCCCTCAACCCCTGGACCCGTGGAGGACCATGCAACTTACCCACTTCTACAATCTCTCTCACCTCCCTCGCGATTCTCTCGAGCTCTGACCCCATTCGAACACGAAAGCAACCAGGAAGGCCAGGCTCGCCATGTCCTCTCATTTTGCTACAAGCTTCTTTTAACTAGCTCCTCCACAGATACCCCCTGGTTCTTGCAGAGATGGGAGGAGGACCTCGGGATTCGCCTGAGCCCAGAAGAGGGTAGGAAACTGCTCACACTCTCTTATCAGTCTTCCATCAGTAACAAATGCCAAGAGGCGGGGTACAAACTAGTCACCAGGTGGTACAGGACGCCCAGGGCACTCCACTCCATGTTCCCACAAACACCAGCCACTTGTTGGAGGTGCAACGCCCCGTCGGCTGATCTGATGCACATATTCTGGTCATGCCCGAACATACAAACATTCTGGGACCAAGTACATACTACTACCCAACAATTCAC